ATGATGACTATTGCTCAAGTAAGAAATCTTAATAAAAATTATAAAAAATAACCAAACGGAAAATCTGTAATGGAAAAGTACAATAACCAAAGTAAAAATTTCCTCAAGAGGCTTGTGGCAGGCAGAATTCTAAGATGGTCCCCAAGACGTACCCCTCACCCTCATGTACATATCCTGCATAAACACAGAGGAGTGATCAAGGGGTTCATAAATGATAGCAATGAGAAGGGATTATGGCATTAGCCTCAAAAGATGGAGTTGGTGCACTGATGAAGGACTAATGAGTTATAAGTCTCAACTGGAAGCTAGAAAAATGCTAATACAACCTGCTGGTCATGAGGTACTTTGGATGTGGACAAGAGAGCTTACAAAAAAAGAGCCTAGGGGCTTCCCTGGTGGCGCAGTGGTTGAGAGTCCGCCTGCCGATGCAGGGGACACGGGTTTCTGCCCCAGTCCGGGAAGATCGCACATGCTGCGGAGCGGCTGGGCCCGTGAGCCATGGCCGCTGAGCCTGCACATCCAGAGCCTGTGCTCCCGCAATGGGAGAGGCCACAACAGTGAGAGGCCTGTGTACCACTTAAAAAAAAAAAAGAGCCTAGATGGAAAACTTCATAAAGTGTGTATGCTAGGGGTAGGGACCACCAACATTTTATGTAAAATGTTTGCATATATGTAAACATGCACATGAAAAATAGCTAACTGTGGCGGACTGTACTGCCTAAAAATGACTGCATCAGTACTTCCCATTACACACATGTTCTTCTTGCAAGGTGATGTTGACTCTCCTCTCAAAATTAGGTTGGTCTATGACTGCAGACAAGGGAACACCAGGTGACTTCTGAGGCTGTCACAAAAGGTGATACAGGTTTCACCTCATCCTCCCGGGATGCTTGTTCTTGGAATTCAGCTACCATGCTGTGAGGAAGTGGAGAGATCTCAGCCAAGAGCCTGAATCAACTGCCTGACATGTGACTGTGAAAGTCTTCAAGAAGACTGCAGCCCTGCCCCTGTCTGACTGCAGCTGCCTGAGAGACCCTGAGTGAGAACTACCTAGCTGGGCCCAGCCAAACCTTTGAATGATGAGAGATGATAAAACACTAACTGCTGTTTTAAGCCACTATGCTTTGTGGCAATTTATTATGTAGCAATAGATAATCAGAATAACAATCAGAACACTTACTCTGTGCCAGGCACTGTGCCAAGTGCTTCACAATTACCATTTTATTTCATCCACACAAGTATTTAATGAGTAGATGTTATTATTATCCACTTTTTGTAATGAGCAGAATGAGATCAATAGAGGCTACATAAGGCCACAGTAAGTGGTAGAGCTGATACTGAAACAAAGATCCCTTTCACTCCAAAGTCAGAGTTTTTCGGCATTAGAAATTTTCTATGATGATAACAATAACTCATTTATTCAGAGCTTATATGCAAGTCACTTTCTGAAGCATTTCACATGTACTAACTCTTAATTCTCACAAACGCAATGTAGGGGAGCAAAATTTGCCACCCCAAAAATGTGTCTCTTTGGCATGGGGGTTAATTCAGGATAATTATTTTTAAGCAACATAAGACTCAGGAAGACTTTCATTTAACCTCCCTCTTAGTTGCCTGAAGAATTTAGATAAAAGGCCCATATCTGCAGAGATACCTGCAAAGAACATGTGCTAGATGTGGTGGGAGAAACTCTGGCAGGGCCTAGAGTTGGGAGTCCACTCTGTGTCCCATTGTCTCTGCTCAGCCCAGAAAACATTTGTTTATCAAACATTTGCTTTTTCTTCTCCACATGAAATGCCTTCCTCCCCTCTGAAGTCCCAAACCACTACCCCAACATCCTCTTTTCTCTTTAGCTGAAGATGGTGTTTAAGGTGAGGGTTTCAGCCATTTTCGCAAGTTACTCAGTTTTCCTGGGTCTCTCCCATGTATACATGTAATTAAACTTTTGTTTGATTTTCTCCTGTTAATCTGTCTCATGTCAATTTAATTTTTAGACCAGCCGGAAGAAACCAGAAGAGTAGAGAAAAATTTCTTCCCACCCAAAAGCCTTATGATGTAAATAATTTTATTTTCCTTTTATCGATTCGGAAGTTGAGGCACAAGAGCTTAAGTAACTTGCTCAACAAATACCTACTAAGGGGAAGAGCCACCATATAAACTGAAACAATAAATCTTCGGAGGCTTCTCATATTGTTTTTATGTTATTCTTAAAAGTATAGGGACTGGGCTTCCCTGGTGGTGCAGTGGTTAATAATCCACCTGCCAATGCAGGGGACATGGGTTGGAGCTGGCTCGGGAAGATCCCATGTGCTGCGGAGCAACTAAGCCTGTGCGCCTCAACTACTGAAACTGCACTCTAGAGCCCGCAAGCCACAACTACTGAAGCCCATGTGCCACAACTACTGAAGCCCGCGTGGCTAAAGTCCGTGCTCTGCAATAAGACAAGCCACCGCAATGAGAAGCCCGTGCACTGCAACGAAGATTAGCCCCCGCTCACCGCAACGAGGAAAGCCTGTGTGCAGCAATGAAGACCCAACGCAGCCAAAATTAAATTTTAAAAATAATAATAATAAATAAATAAAAAGAAAAAAAGTAAAAAAAAAAAAGTATAGGGACTTCCTTGGCGGTCCAGTGGTTAAGATTCTGCTCTTCCAATGCAGGAGCGCAGGTTCGATCCCTGGTCGGGGAACTAAGATCCCACATGCAGCATAGCCAAATTTTAAAAAAAAGTATAGAAAGAAGTCTAGTCAAGATGTAATAACAGAGACTAGATTTATCCTCCTACCTAAATCAAACCAAAAAACACGCAAAATAAATTAAACAATGATTTTTAAGACATAGGACATGAGGCAACAAAGAGCAGTGATCCCTGAAAGAAATCAAAAGAATTTAAGCCCTACAAGCGCCAAAGCTTACTGCTGGAGAGAGCTTCCAATAGGGACGCTGACAGCGTGGTAGTCTCCACAGTGTCCCTGAGTTGCGAAGGTGCTGGGAGTCTAGGGAGACAAAGAAGATTAAGCTTCACAAGGCAGAGTACCAAAGAGGAAAGAGCTGCCCAGAGAGAACTCAAGTCATCTACAGAAGATACTCTCTTTAGCCAAGTGCCAATCAAGGCATGGCTGGAAGCACACGACCTGAGTCCGGGGAATCATTTGAGATTTGGGGGCAGAACAATGTCCAAACCAGGCATACTTTCTGCTCATAATTCACAAAGATAATGGTACCCAGAAGGGTTTTGCTTCATAGTAAGGCAAAATTAGCCCTAGAATAAAACCCTGCTTTGGTCCTTCCTACCTGAAAAAACTTTAAAAACAGACCTAAAAGAATCAAATCATTTCCAAGTAAATAACCTGTGTCCTAGAACAAAGCTCAACAATATGCATAAGAATATAAAAATTTCCAGAACCAACATGCCTCTGTTACAATACTTACTTCGTTGGTTTTTCTTTGTTTTGTCATTATTTTTTGTTAGAATTGCAATCAGCCCATGTGTTAGTTAGGGTAGGTCTGGCTATAGTAGCAAATAAACTCCACAGTGTGTAAGAATTAAACCAAAAAAGGAACTATTTCCTAACCAGACAGGAGTAGGAGAGGGGTGTTCCTGGTTGGCAAGCAGCTATCCTCCGTGTGGTAACTCAGAGACTCAGGCTCCTGGAGGATCTGCCATTACCTAGGCTTTCCATCTTGCTGGCAGAAGTGGACAGTAAAGAAATACAGCTGAGAAGTGTCTTCTGCTGATATTTCATTGCCTAGACTTCAGTCACATGGCCTTACTTTCACCTATAAGGAAGGTGAAGTGTAGTCTAACTGTATACCCAAGAAGAAGAAATGAATTTGGGATGAACAGCTAACAGTCTTGTCGTAGCCATTCTGTTAAAGCACTATTTATGACAGTCTGTTTTCAGAGGAGAGATAGGAGGTACTCTGGGGCAGATTGTGTCAGTAGTTAAACTTGTGGGTAAGAAAGTTCTCATTCATCCTGGGGGTTGCCACTAACCAAGGCTTTGGCAATTTTTCCAAGAAAGCTACACTCACTGATTCACCTGAAGTTAAACCACTGCATTATTTGATGCCAGGTCAAAGTTTTTTGGATGGGTGGAAAGTATAGGAGTGAGGTATACAGTCTATTCCTAGAGAACCTCAAACTATCACTCTATGGACTGCAGCTGGGTCTCCTTCTGATTCAATAATCCCCATCTGTAGCATCAGAACACCCTTCAAATTGTCCTTAACTTTTGAAACTGGGACCAGAAGGGGCAGGTTTGAGAAGGAAATCAGTAAATTCAGTATTTTTAAATTGAGATGTAATTCATATACCATAAAATTTCCTCTTTTAAACTGTACAATTCAGTGGGTTTTAGCATATTCACAAGGTTGTACGACTATCACCACTATCTCATTCCAGGACATTTTCTATAAGTGCAATCATGATATGTGGCCTTTGGTTTGGCTTCTTTAAATCAGCATGTTTTCAAGGTTCATCCGTGCTGTAGAGTGTATCATTCTGAAGATGAGTAATACTCCATTGTATGGATACATTACTATTTTTAGGAATTTGTCAGCTGATGGACATTTGGCTTGTTTCTACGTTCTGCATCTCTTAAATAATGCTGCTATGAACATCTGTAACCAAGTATTTGTATACATATTTTGAATTATCTTGGGCACCTCCCTAGAAATGTAAAAGCTAGATCATATGGTAACTCTATGTACCATTTTGATGAACCACCAGTTTTTGCAAAGTGGATGCACCATTTTACATTCCAACTAGCAATACATAAGGGTTTTTTTAATTCATCCACATCCTTGTCAGCACTTATTACTGTCTCTTCATTACAGATATCCTAGCGGGTGGGACTTGCAATGCTGAGAATACTGTCAAGAGCTTATAGGCAATATGTATATCTTTGTTAGAGAAATGTATATTTCAATCTTTCCCCCCTTTTAAAATTGGGCAATTTATCTTTTCATTGTTGAGTTATAAGGGTTTCTTAGGGACTTCCCTGGTGGTCAAGTGGTTAAGACTCTGCACTTCCAATACAGCGGGCACTGGTTCAATCCCTGGTCAGGGAACTAAGATTCCCACATGCTGTGCAGCACAGCCAAAAAAAAAAGAGAGAGTTTTTAAAAATACATTCCTGATATAAGTCCTTTATCAGATACATGATTTATAAATATTTTCTCCCATTCTGTAGGTTATCTTTACATTTTGTTGTATCTTTTTAAGAACAAAAGTTTTAAATTTTGATTAAATCCAGTCTATCTATTTTTTATTTGGTTGCATATTTTAGTCATCATATCTAAGAAACTTCCTACTTCCCAGTCACAAAGATTTACACCTCTTTTAAAAGGTTTATAGTTTTAACTCTTATGTTTAAATCTTTTATCCATTTTGAGAAATTAAGTTTTGTAACAGTGTAATGTAGGGATCCAACTTCATTCTTTTGCATGTAGATTAACAGTTGCTGCAGGATTTTTTGTTGAAAAGACTATTCTTTCTTCCACTGAATAGTCTCAGTACTCTTGTCAAATATCATCTGGCCATAGATGTATGCATTTGTTTCTGGCCTCTCAACTGTATTCCATTGATCTATATGTCTCTCCTTATGCCAGATCACATAGTCTTTGTTACTGCAGCCTTGTAGTAGTTTTTTGGGTTTTTTTTACTGAGATATAATTGACATATAACATTACATTAGTTTCAAGTGTACAACATAATTTGATACTTGTAAATATATATAACAAAATGATCACCACAATAAGTTTAGTTAAGATCTGTCATCATACATAGTTACAAAATTTTTGTTTCTTGTGATGAGAAATTTTAAGATCTAATTTCTGAGAAACTTTCAAATATGCAATACAGTATTATTAAGTATAGTCACCATGTTGGACATTACATCCCCATGACTTATTTTATCACTGGAAGTTTACACCTTTTGACCCCTTCACCCATTTTTCCCATCCTCCCTAATCCCCTGCCTCTGTCAACCACCAATCTATTCTCTGCATTTATGAACCTGAGTTTTTTGGTTGCTGTTACTGTTTTGGTTTTGCTTTTCTGTTTTTGTTTGCTTTTGTTTAGATCTGCATATAAGTGAGATCATATAGTATATGTCTTTCCAAATCTGACTTATTTCACTTAGCATAATGCCCTCAAGGTACATCCATGTTGTCACAAGTGGCAAAATTTCCTTCATTTTTATGGCTGAATAATATTCCACTGTGTGTGTGTATAAATATAAAGATTTATATATGACATTTTCATTACCATTCACCCATAATGAACACTTAGGTTGTCTCTATGTCTTGGCTATTGGAAACAATGCTGCAATGAGCACAGGAGAATATATATGTTTTTGAGTTAGTGTTTTCATTTTCTTCGGATGAATACCCAGAAGTGAAACTGCTGGATGATATGGTAATTCTATTTTTAATAATTTGGGGAATCTCCATACTGTTTTCCATAATGGCTGCACCAATTTTCATTCCCACCAACAGTGAACAAGGGTTCCCTTTTCTCTACATCCTCACAAACACTTGTGATTTCTTGTCTTTTTGAAAGAAGCCACTCCAGTAGGTGTAAGATGATATCTCATTGTTGTTTTGATTTGCATTTCCCTGATGATTAGTGATGTTAAGCATCTTTCTACGTACCTGTTGGCCATCTGTATGTCTTCTTTGGAAAAAGGTCTATTCAGATCTTCTTCCCACTTTTTTTTTTTTTTTTTTTTTTTTGTGGTACGCGGGCCTCTCACTGCTGTGGCCTATCCCATTGCAGAACACAGGCTCCGGACGAGCAGGCTCAGCGGCCATGGCTCACGGGCCCAGCCACTCTGCGGCATGTGGGATCTTCCCAGACTGGGGCATGAACCCATGCCCCCTGCATCGGCAGGCGGGCTCCCAACCACTGCGCCACCAGGGAAGCCCTTCTTCCCACTTTTAAATCAGATTGTTTGTTTTTTTGTTATTGAGTTGCACGAGTTCCTTACATATTTTGTATATTAACCTCTTATCAGATATACAGTTTGCAAATATATTTTCTCCCATTTGGTATGTTGCCTTTTCATTTTGTTGATGATTTCCTTTGCTGTGCAGAAACTTTTTAGTTTGATATAGTCCAATTTGTTTATTTTTGGTTTTGTTGCCTGTGCTTTTGCTGTCAGATACAAAAAATCATCACCGTCGAGGACCTTATCACCTAATGTTTTCTTCTAGGAGTGCTATGGTTTCACGTCTTACATGCAAGTCTTTAATCCATTTTGAGTTAATTTTTGTGTATGGTGTAAGATAGTGGTCCAGAATCGTTCTTTCGCAGGTGGCTGTCCAGTTTTCCCAATGCCATTTATTAAAGAGACTCTTCATTCCCATTGTATATTCTTAGTTTTACTGTCATAAATTAATTGACCATATATATTCGTGTGTTTATTTCTGGGCTCTATTACATTCCATTGAACTATGTGTCTGTTTTTATGCCAGTACCATACTGCTTTGATTACTATAGCTTTGAAATGCAGTTTGAAATCAGGGAGCATGATGCCTCCAGCTTTGTTCTTCTTTCTCAAGATTGCTTTGGCTATTCAGGGTCTTTTGTGGCTCCAATCAAATTTTAGAACTGTTTGTTTTATTTCTATGAAAAATGCCATGAGAATTTTGATAGAAGCTGCATTGAATCAGTAGATTGCTTTGGGTAGTATTGACATTTTAACAATATTAATTCTTCCAGTCCATGAGCATGGAATGTCTTTTCATTTCTTTGTATCTTCTTCAATTTCTTTCATCAATATCTTATAGTTTTCAGTGTACAGGTCTTTTACTTCCACAGCTAAATTTATCTCAAGGTATTGTATTCTTTCTGATGCAACTGTAAATAAAATTATTTTCTTAATTTCTCTTTCCTGATAGTTCATTATTAGTGTATAGAAATGCAACAGATTCTTGTATATTAATTTTGTACCCTGAAACTTTACAAATTTGTTGATTAGTTCTAACAGTTTTTTGGTATTGTTTTTAGGGTTTTCTATACATGCCTTCTGCAAATAGTGACAGTTTTACTTCTTCCTTTCTAATTTGGATGCCTTTTATTTCTTTTTCTTTTCTAATGGCTCTGGCTAGGATTTCCAATAATATGTTGAATAAAAGTGGCCTTCCTTGTCTTGTTCCTGATGTTAGAGGAAAAGATTTCAGCTTTTCACTGTTGAGTATGATGTTAGCTGTGGGCTTGTCATATATAGCCTTTATTATACTGAGGTACGTTCCCTCTATACTCTCTTTGTTGAGAGTTTTTATAATAAATGGCGGTTAAATTTTGTCAAATGCTTTTTCTGCATTTACTGAAATGACTATGGTTTTTATCCTTCATTCTATTACTGTGGTGTATCACATTGATTGATTTGCAGATGTTGAACCATTGCTGCATCCCTGGAATAAATCCTGTTTGATCATAGTGTATGTATTGTTGAATTTGGCTTTCTAATATTTTGTTGAGATTTTTATATTTATGTTCATCAGAGATACTGACCTGTAATTTTCTTTTCTTGCAGTGTCTTTATCTGGTTTTGGTATCAGGGTAATGCTGGCCTCATAAAATGAGTTTGGAAGTGTTCCCTCCTCTTCTGTTTTTTGGAAGAATTTGAGAAGAACTGATATTCATTCTCCTTTGAATGTTTGGTAGAATTCATAGTGAGGCCATCTGGTCCTGGACTTTTGTTTGTTGGGATTCAATCTTGTTACTAGTGGTCTGTTCCGATTTTCTATTTCCTCATGATTTAATCTTGGTAGGTTGTATGTTTCTAGGAATTTATCCATTTCTCCTAGATTGTCAAATTTGTTGGCATTTAATTGTTTACTGTAGTCTCATGATCCTTTGTATTTCTGTGGTATCTTTTGTTTCTGATTTTATTTTTAGTGGTTTTGAAATAGGGAAATGTGAATCCTTTCCTTTCAAAATTGTTCTTCCTATTCTGGGTCTCCTTACATTTCCATATGAATTTTAGGATCAGCTTGTCAATTCTATACGAAGAGGCAGCTGGAATCTTGATAGGGATTGCATTGAATCTGTAATATAGATCTGTTTTAGATATATTGTGTTTTGATATGTCTATTAGACATGCAAATAGAAAGATGTTAATAAGTCTAGAGTTCAGAGAAGAATCACCATTTTTACTATCTACTATGTTAATTGCTCAACCACTTATTAGATTGGTATTTCAGGGACACTGGACTCTATTGAGGACAAAAGAAAGTGATGCAAAGAGCAAAAAAATTATTTGGAATCAAAAAATTTTATAATGAGGAAATAGAGATCGATTCTAATCCCTTCATATGAAAGCAAAGCAAAATAAAACCACCCTGTACTAAACATAATACTATCACTAATATTCTATTTTGGGTTGTAGGCTGACAATGCTAATTTTATTATTTTGCTTTATTAGAAACAACACATTACATATATTATTTTGAATGTACTAAAATGTTTCACCTTAAAATGGGAGAAAAAAGGAATAGTATGATGGTTAACTTTATATGTCAGCTTGACTGGGCCATGGGGTGCCCAGACATTTGGTTGAGTATTATCCTGGGTATGTCTGTAAGGATGTTTCGGGATAAAATTAGCAATTTGAATCAGCAGACTAAGTAAAGCATATTGCCCTCCCTAATCTGGGTGGATCCTATCCAATCAGTTGAAGACCTGAATAAAACAAAAAGGCTGACCCTCCTGCAAGTAAGAAAGAACTCCTACTGCCTTGACTGCCTTCAAACTGACACAATGTTTTTTTTCCTGCCTTTGTACTTGAACTGAAACATTGGTTCTTCTTGGGCCTCAAACCTATGACTTTTGGACTAGAACTTACACCTTTGATTCCTCTGGCTCTTAGGCCTTCAGACCTGGACTAGACCTACACCACTGGCTCTCCTAGCAATCCAGCTTTCCAACTGCAGATCTTTGGACTTCTCAGCCTCCATAATCACATGAGCCAATCCAGGGGGCGGGGGTAACTAATGGGATATCTATATATCATCCTACTAGTTCTGTTTCTCTGGAGAACCCTAATACATATTTGAAGGGAAAA